AGCCCTCGGCGTCGGTCTTGTTTTGTGACAGAACCAAAATTTTTGGTTATTATTTTTAAAACCAAACTCAAACTTTATTATAATTCAAAAGTTCAGTTTGGTTATCCAAATTTTTTTTGTTCGGTTTGGTTTTAACTGAATTTTCAAATTTTATTAAAATATTAAATTAAAAATTTGATATTTATTAACAAATTCAAGGACTGTCCGGTAGAGTACCTGAGAATTTCAACTTTTTAATACTATTCATATTTTATAAATTAAAATTTTTCTCTTAAAAAGTTACATTTTTAAACTTTTTTTTAACCCTAAAAAAATCTCAAACATCTCAAACAGTAAAAATTCATAAGTTTCAAATCTAAACTTTTTATAAATTATCTTTTTACTCATTTTTTACACATTTTTTCCTATCTTTAAAATCAACTTTTAAATTTTTTTTCCAATAAAAATTTAAATTTATCACTCATAACAGTACTAAAAAAACAAAAACTCTCACAAGTCAAACTAAACATGCCCTCAATTCGGTATGGATTTTCTAGTTCAGCTGAAATTTTTTTTTTTATTAATTCGACTAAATTGAGAGTTCATTTTGGTTTATTTGGTTTTTAAAATAGAGTTTCTGTGTCTAAGGGTACATTTTTATCATAAATGTATATAAGAAAATATAAAAGTTGATGCTAATAATTTTAGTGTCGCTGTTAAATGGATGAATTTTTTTATACTAAACTCCTAGTATTTGAAAAGTTATATTATATTTTAATTAATTTAAAATTAAATCGCATCGAATCTCATAAAAAAAAAAACTCTTCCAACATTTTATTTTTTATTTATAAAATTTAAACTCAAAACTAAATTTAAGGAGAATTGAGTTTTTCTCACTTGAAGCGATAGTTAATTAGACAATTAATAAATTAAATATCAACTTTTGTTTTCTAATACAAATTTATGATGAGAAAAACCCTTTAAGATAAAAGTTGTAACTAAAACCAAATTTTGATTTGATAAATTTGGTTTAAAATTGATGAAAAACCAAATAACTGTTTAACCAACCAAAAATATTGAATTTGGTTTGAACCAAAATATGCCCAACTCTACTAAAAAATTACTGTTTTAACTTCAATTTACTATTTAACCCTTGTTTGAATAAAAATTAAGCTGGTTCCATTTGAAATTACAGTTTACTTCGACTCTGCCCATTTTAATGAAATTTGTATATAGGCATGTATGCATGACGAGTTTGATATCAATTGCAAGTTATTCTATTTGCTTTAAAATTAATATGAAAGATTTACTACTGTTTTAATCATAAAAAAATTACTTCGGTTTTAAGGCCAATAAATTTTTTTTTACCACTTTAGTTCTATTCTAATCTCTACTTATCAGTGGGGTTATACATTTGTCATATTGATAACGTTATTTCTAATCTGCCTCCTTGATTGATACAAATCCTTTTTTATTGCTTAAAATTAACTCGACTGAATTTTACCTCTTAATAAACTAGTGATGGCTACGATGGCTTTCTCTCTTGGTAGGGTGAGAACATGGGCACTGCTAGTTGGTGTGTTGGCTTTTTGTTCGATTGCTTTATTATCTTATAAGGAGAATCCTGTGCTTGGGCCAAACAACAAGAGTGCGATGACAAATAGGGGGGGTATGAACCGGTGGTGGTGATGGGGATGTTTTTGTCCCTATCAGAGAAGTAGAAAAATGAAATATTGACAATGAATCAATGCACATGACAGTACAATATTGGTCAACAGGCATGATAATACATTGTTGCAATCTTAACTAAAATTTCATAAAAAAAAAAAATTGAAAAAAAAAAATCATCAATCTCCACAATCTAACATTTCTTGTAATTAGAATTAAACGAGTCATCAAATATCTAAAACTAAAATCAGTTACAAATAAGTAGAAATAATCAAATTACCTTGAATTAGACAATGTCTAAAAAAAACTAAAACTAAAATAAATCATCAGTAAATTGCAACTTTTCCTTCGAATGATGGCCAACAACTTTAAGTGGGTTAAATGAACATTGTTGACTAGCTTAAGGGTTAATTGATGCATTTCACAATTTCAGCAAATAACGGGTCTAAAATATTGGGTCGGAGCTCCAGCAGGCTGATGGGCTCATCGACTCCGCTCCTCTACAGCCTACAGGGTCGAGGCTCGAGCTGGGTAGCCGTATTCCTATTAGACGACTTCATTCTGGTTCTAGTTCCGGTTCCGAATCCCATTTCTTTGCTCCTGGAATATTTAGCTTCGAATTTGGATAAAGAAGAGGAAATATACATCAGAAGAAGAAGATGGGTACAGTGGAACCCAGTTTGGAAGAATTGTTGGAGCAGAAGAAGCGCGTCAGGAACCCTCTTGTTCCAGTTGGTTTCCCCTTCGAAATTTCATTACTTTTTAAGTTTTGTCTGTTTGGACTCTGGTTTTGAATCTTTCGGTACATGTGCTTAGCAAAATTTAAGGTATTAAATGAGATGAAAATATATTTGGTTGCAAGTTGAAACCTTCGGTTTATTTTTAGTTTGACATTCGGTGCTGCAGATCCTTTGTTGGGAGAAAAACCCTTCTCTTTGAATAGATTTTCCCTATTTCTTTTTCTTTTTTTATTTATAATTGATAAAGTGATTTCCTTGGATAGTTGATTTGGAGAAATTGATTGTTAATTTGGATCCAGGCATCCAGCAGTGGCTTTGACAAGGAATTGCATAGCTTCTGCCAGAAGTTCGGACTCAACTTTTACATGGCTACTGAGGTTGGTTCACTTTTATCTGCATTGTCTCTGTGAAATTGTGACTGCGATTGTTAGTTATTCTTAGATCAAATAGAGGCAAAGTGTTAAAGGGTTACTTGCAGTTTAAATAGAAGAGGAGCCGAACTCTTGCTTTCAGCAAAAGCTTTAAAAGAAAAAGCTTGACCCTCCATATGATGGCTGGAAAATTGTGTTATTTTATCTCGATTTGTGTTTAGAATTAGATAATCTTTGATTGATTCATTCTGCATTCATATGGATGATAATCAAGCATTTGGAAAGTATGCTGTTTCTTTTCCCAAGTTATTGTTATTATTTTGGTTGATTTGTCTGTTGGGGGAGGAGTGGAGGAGGAGGGTTAACATATGGAACTTTGGTATCATTATTAATTCTTGATTGGAATGACCCAGAGCAGCAGTAAACAGTTCTTTTGTGTGGTGGTCAGAAAGTGATATGATTGCAATTGAGAAGGATTCTTTTGTTTATGTTTTTGGTATTCTAGCTGTTGGTTTTAATATAGTGAGCATAAATCTCTTGATGGTAAATTTGTGAAGACATTCGAGGACAATAGATTTTGTTGTAAAGTTGGAATGCATAATGCTTGCCTTTGTTCTTGTTTGAGCTATTGATTGTGGATCTTAATTATCTGTTCTCTCTAGTTCTTATGCTTATTTAATTCTGTGTAACTTCTTGGGCTGGTAGATGTCTTGCCTCCTTTGTGCATTTTAAATTGTTATCGTGTTGATACTGCCATGAAAAAACTCTTAGGCCAGGAAGTTTACTACAATAACGGCAACCCCTTCCTTTTTATTCATAGAAACCAGTGGTTACCGAGTTTCAGTTTGTTTAACGTTTGTGAATTCAACAGGTACACTTATGACTACAGGGGTCGTCACTCCTCACTGCTGGATTAGTCAGTTTCAGGTGAGGCAATTCACAGTTGGGTCAGATCTTAATGAGAGCGAGGGTGGTTGTTCAGGGGGCCACAGTGGCATTTATAGTTGGCACAGCATGCTACTATGGTGTGGAAATCCCTGGAAATCAAGTTAGACTCTCTGCCTTGCTTACAGTTTTTCAAAGTTTCGTGTGGTCCTTATCCGAAAACAATACGATGTAGGAGACAAAGGTTCCTTGTTGGAAAACATTTTTGCCTGCAATCAGACAAAATTTTGAATTTATTTTTGTGCACTTTCTCTATAACCAAACAGATTTTCATATTTTTTAACGCAATGGGACAGTTCAACGGTTAAGAACTTAAAATTCTAAGTTAGAGATCAAGTTCGAATTTTGAGACTAGTGGGGAGGGATTTAGAAATAGGAGCCCGCTCGTATAATTTATAATAAGATGTACTAAAAAAAAAGGATTTTCATATTTTATTTTTCTTGCACTTCCTTTGCAGCGAACGAAGAATGAAAATTAAACTTGAAATAGAAGAAATTCAGAAAAAAATGTGTAACACCAGATATTTTCGAAAAAGAGAAAAAGTTCATAATTAACATAATATTGCAGACGTTACAAAATTACAAAAAATGCAAATGATTTGACACCATAAAAAACTGTGGAGATGCTTCAATAAATACCGTCCATTGGTCATCTCTTGAAGATTATTGGTCGAAACGTCATTGTATAGACATTACAAATGGTGGGATATAGCCAGCCAATCAAAATGGAGATGGTAAATACAGGTAGGTATATTATGATAGCCGGTAGCACCTGCCACTTCTTTTGCAACATCATCGTAAGAGCAAAAATGAAGGCCAGGATCATTGTTACTATTGAAATTGCGAGTAAGGAAATAGCCAACATCGAATGGAAGGGCAGAATTTGGCGAAGACGAACTGGACCATGGGATTGTGCGAGTATATCTAGAAATCTCAGCATTGATGCTGATGCAGCAAGGAAGGACACCACATCACATACTAGAAACCCGGAAAACAGCTTTCTGTGCAATAATATGGGGACATCGGTTTCTTTATTGTTGCCGCCAGGAACTGTAAAAAGTGCTGCAAACATAATGGTGACAATTAAAACAGGGACGAGAATATAAGAATCCGCAGTTTTCTTTGCCCATTCATTCGCTTCTTTTGTCAATTGCTGGTGTTCTTTGCGGAAAACTTGGTGTGGAGTTTCACCATAAAGGTTTTTGGCTTGTCGATACCATCGTGGAAGAACATTACTAACTTCCTGCCATTTCATAACAGTACGTATTAGCCTCAAAGTTTAAAGTGGAAAAGGAAAAAAGAAAACATGAACAATAAATCTTTTCTCTCTTTTTTATTTTGATTGGAACAATAATTGTTTTCTAGAAAAACAATTTATTTGACTGCTGAGACCGAGCATTATTTACTTTAAATTGAACCTCTTCGAAACACAGCTCAAAATGAATTAGACATATATCTTTTTCAAGAAGTTTGAGTTGTGAAAATATTTAAATATCTTTCCTAAATAAGATTCTGGATTGAAAAAAAAAAAAAGCATTCTCAAAATGATTTCACATCAAAAAATTAAGGAACAAGCCCAAAGAAAGTGAGAAAACCCCTGAAAAATGAAAAACTCCACCAACAGGTTTCAAAATGTAATAAAGACAACATAGGATTGCCTACCATTTTATAATTTCAGCAATCAGCAAGAAAACAAAAATTTTTTTTTTCTAATTTACCTTCAAGAAAACAAAATAATGGATGAAAATATAGCATATTTTCAACGTTTATTTGAGAAAAGAAATATGAAGTTAATTAGAGTAAACTGACTACCTCGAACCACTTTATTTCTCGTTGCATAACCCAAGCTGGATAGAGAACGTTATAAATTCGATCGTCAGGTAACTTAGCCACTAGATGCAACACGTTGTTTCCATCTTCATCTCCTATAGAGAGAAATGCTTTCTTTCCTGCATCAAGTCTATAAACAAACTCTAAAATCCTTCCTTGACGATGCTTGATTGCAGCGATGAGTATATCTCTTGAAAGCTTTTTATTGCACCAAATTAAATCTGGGTTTGCTTTAAGGATCTCAATCACAATTTCGACTGTGCCATTCTTGATTGCTTCGAAAATTGCAGAGATTGTTCCACTTTCAACAAGTTGTCTGGTATTCCGGTAGGTTGATATTTCCTTGCACCAGTATTGCAAAACCGAATTGGCATACATATGGGTTAACTTCTGTTTATATAGGTCCTTCAGTCTAGCTACACCAAGTCAAGACAAAGAATCATGAACAGATATTACTTGAAGAAATTTTAAAGAATAACAAAGAAAATGGTATAGTTGAGTGGACATTATATACCAGCTCCATAGAATCGACGGGGTATAAAAAAAGGGAGTTCCAATATTCCATCTATTACTTTAACCCATGCTACTGCAATATCAAATAGACAAACCCCATTCATATATACTGGCTTAACATTTGCTATTTGAACCAATATATAGGTACGTAACAGAAGCATACCGTGTGATTGGAAGATTTTATGTCTACTTCTATGCATGCCCTCAGAGGGAGATGGTAGTTTAACAATGCATAGGTCTTCAATAACAATGGATGAAATTAATATTGTGTAAGTTAAAAAGGAGCAACAACGAAGGGACAAAACTAAAGAGAGAAAGGGAGAGTGTTACCAACATTTATAGAAAAATTTGTTATAAGGGTCAAGCCATGTTTCGCTACGGAATAAAGAAGGGTGAACAGACAATTGTGAAATAGTAATGGATTCTCTAGTAGTAGTTGCCAATTGCGGACAACGAAGGAATAGATCCAAACCAACATCTGTTATCACATGGAAGTAACAGCAAATGAAAGCCATGAGTATAAAATCCAAAACGTCTATGGCAAGAATTAAGAATTATAAATTAGAGCTTAGAAATAGGAAAGCCTAACAACCAACTCTGACCAAACATGGAGTTGAGTAGACAGTATTTGAGGAACAAAGTTCCCTGGTTGCTATTTTCTGGAAGTAAGAACTCAAGCGGAGTTATGGAGCAAAGATAGGATGACATATCCTTCTTCTTGTTGAAACATGCGGCCACAAGTGGTATGTGTCCTTCATTGTTCCTAATGGTAAGCAATTTATCATTCTTTTGAACCAAGCATTCTGCAATCTTCATTTCTCCATTACAAGCAGCATGAGAAAGAGCTGTATCACCATTATCATCCTGTATTTCCAAGTACTCTTCTCCCACTATCTTAACCAATTCATTGACAACCTTCAAGTGACCAGCAATAGTTGCAATATGCAGAACAGTAAAACCGCCAGGAAAAATTATTTCAATTATTCTGTCTAAGGAATTTAGGGCATTCCAATTCCCATCGTAGATGTCTTTGAATAGAGTCACAAATTCAGTCCTTTCATTGTTGTCCAATACCCCTATCAAGGTTTCAAAGATGGAATAAAAGAGTGTTAATTTCGTGAAAAGCGCGCACACACACACACAAAGGGATGAACAAAAAATTTGGTTTAATTTTGGAGGTAAATCAAGAATTATTTGTACGTTTCTTTTATCATGATAAAAGTGACTAACATATAATACAAAATTACAAATACAATATTTCAACTCCATAGAGTAAATTTTACATATATAGAATGATCTCACGAAAAAAAGTTAGAAGTCCTCGTCTCAAAACATGACCGTTCTGTAGTTTGAAAAATTAATCATTGAAGATATTACAACTTAAGTGAAAGAAGTGGCCTCCCATAGCCATAAAGTACACTTAATTAAGATAAGAGTAATGTATATACCCTTATTAAATTATGAAAACAAATTAAAATTGAGAATTGAGAATAGATATTGTTTAATATTATTAGTTGGGAAATGATACATTCACCATATAAATTTACACATCTGATCACACACTATTGATCTAACTATTAAAATACATTTTTTACTGTGGATTAACTTATCCCTTGCTTGTTCAGGATTATATCTCTAATGTTGAAATCCCCTCCACCTATTTCTCATAAAATCTCCTTCCAATGATGCAATCCTTTGGCTAAAATCTCTCCATAATCAAATTCAAAAGTGGTGAAATTGCTACGCAATAAGGTTTGTTACTTTGGCTAAAATCCTTAGGCTGAGTTTGTTCTATTTGTAAGAATCACTGAAATAAGTTTTTTTTTTTTTTTTCTCAGAAAGTGTATGTATATCTTTCTTTTGATTGCAATTGAAGTAGGATGCACCAATTAAAGTGGTTGCATCAACAAATCCCTCTTTTGTAATCTTACTCATTCTATACTTGCACGATAATTTTCTTACCTTTGTGGTTTTTTGGAATTTCATGGGTTTTTTCTAGGAATCTACTATTCAAAATATTGACTCTGAGGTTTGAAGTGTAATATGTTTATCAGGTACTTCGAAGATGATGATTGTTGGCGGCATTGGACCGCTATTCAGCACTTTTTCTAGTTGAGTGAAGTAGGCACCTATTTTCAATTTGTTTAATAACGAGAATAGACGATATTTATGGGTTTGTGTGCTGAGTTAGATTTGGGTTCATGAGGAACCCAAATCTGTCCCGAATCCAAATCATTTGGATTTGTGCAAACACAACACTGTGTTCACGCAAACCTAGTCACAACAAGTGAGGGGGGAAGAGAAGTGTAGCCAAAAATGGGTAGACGAAAGGTATTGGAAAAGTGTTAGGTTCATGGGGAAGAAGATGAACATCAGAGGCAGCTATTTCCAATCTGTTTGGTAATGAGAATAGACAGGGTCTAGTATTTCAATCGTTATTTCAAACTAACTAATAAAACATATATATTTTATAGTGTGTCTCGCCGAGTGTTGAATTGGCAGGTGTGCTTATTAGCATTCTTATTAGTTTTCATTAAGATCAAAAGAAAAGAAATAAATACATATTCCTTAATTATATACTAATAATTATGTCAAGGAACACTAATTTGTTGTTAATTTGTTAAATAATTTCTCAATTTTACATCATTTTTATAGTTTGATGGAACCTAAGAGAAGTAATTAATTAGAAGTCAAACCAACAAACCCTAAACACTATGAGGATAGCTGAAGTTGCAATGAGAGTACTATTATTATAAAGCATTAAAATAAACAGCAAAGAATAAATATTTTATATTTTCAGCCAGATGGAGATGGAAATTAAACCTGCATCATTCGGTGGTTTATGCAAATCAGCCAATGCATCCCATACATCTTTGGCTGAATTCATATTCTTAAGCTGATCGAACGTTTTTGCTCCACATGAAGTCTTAATTGCAAGCAGAGCTAAAGCATTCTTTTTAATCCAATCGCCTGAATCTTCAGCGCAAGGAATCTGACTTGATAGAACAACATCCCAAAGACCTTGAGCTACTAAATAGTGTTGCATTAAAATACTCCACCTTTCATAATTATCTTCTTTAAGAACCTCCGGTAGAATCGCACTCAGAGATACAGCTGTGTTCGTCTATACAAAATACAAAACCATATATAAAACATTTTTTCTTTGCCACGAAAAATAACAAGAAAATTAAGCAATAGAATTCTTGAAATGAAGTTCAAGGAACAGGTGATCATCTTATTCTTGTTAAAATATTAACTAAGAAAAATGTCTATGCACTTAATTATATGACTTACGGATGCTGAGGTATATGTAGAAGGAGATTAACCAAACTTACAAATGGATCTGGCTGATGAACCGAATTAGCATCCATGCTTCCTAATTAAGCAGACAGACAAACTAATCCAACAGGGAATGAATTGTAGTTTGAGTGCAAGAGCTCTGTTTTATTTAAGCTATATTTATAGAATTTGGATCCACCTACTCCAAGATAAACACTGTTCATTTCCTTGGCATTTACAGAAAATATTAGCTCTATTTTGACCGTCCATTTTCCCCCTTTCATTAATTAGTTTCTTGGTATTTTTTGTGGATTAAAAGGAATTAAAAGGACACTTAGATAATCTCAAAATTTTGTATTTTCCTTTTCTAATAAAGCCTTAATTTCAGGATGCTTAACAATGATTTTTCTTTCATTGAGTTTCGTGCTAAAATGAGGTAAGTCTGAGTTTAACAAAGATTATTGTTACGAATGTTTTAAAACTATTAAGTAATCAAATCTACTGTGTTGGCTTCTTAAAAACGTAACTCAATAAATGACTGTTACCATCCATTGAGTGCAACCTTAAATTGAAGTTTCATTTAATTAAAACCCTTAATCTGTAAACAACTTTTTTATATAAAACATGTCAATTGCATGAAACTTTTCTAGAAAGAGGAATGAGAAGAAAAAATAAGAGTTTAAATCTTAACCATACGGATAAGAAAGTGCCTTTATATTAATCATTAAGGGAATTGCTCTATCGGGCTTCCTCAACCCGTAGACAACTTCTTTTCACATGTATTAACCGAATAATTTAACAAATCAGTCCGCAAGTCCTTGCTCACTCAGCTTAAGGTCACTTCAATTGCTTTAGAGGATAATAAATTCCAACCCGACTGTCAACTAAGCTTGGAGGATAATAAATTCCAAACCGACCGTGACTCTTTGGAGAATGATAAATTCCAAACCGACCGTGACTTATCAACCAACCCATTCCATTCATTCCAATACTCATTTTCCTACAATTTACTAACGAAATACCCAAGCAATTGAACTAACCAATCAGAATTTCTTCCTCTTTTTTTCTCTTTTGATTTTTCTAACCAATATCCTATTAACACAAATTAAAAATATATTTATTATATTTTTTAAATTTATCAACCAAGCTTTAGAGGATAATAAATTCCAACCCGAACGTGACTTATCAACCAACCCATTTCATTCATTCCAATAATCATTTTCCTACAATTTACTAACGAACTACCCTTGCAATGCAATTGAATAACCAACCAGAATTTCTTTTTTTTCTTCTTCTTCTTCTTTTTGATTTTTTTAACCAACGTCCTAATAATGCAAATTAAGGATTCATTTATTGTAATTTTTTAATTTTTACTATTAATTTATATAAAATTTTATAAAAATAAATTTTATTTTAATATTAATAATATATGAAATATTTTAATTATACAATTAATAAAACTAAAATTAATTTTTATTTTTTCAAACAAATTAATAAAATATATAGTAAATATATATATTTTTTGAACTTAGGAAACTTTTAGAGATAATAAATAGTGTCTATGTATTGAACCAAAAACTTCTTTATCTTAACACTTTTTATTTTCATTAAGAAGGTGATCACTAAACAACCTAATTTTGAAGATAGTATCTATATTTTTAAAGGTTTGTAAACCCTTTATTTATTTTTCAGGCTAAAGACCATGGTGCATTTTTAGGTAGGACCGTTCTAATCGTTGCCTAACTTAATTGCAAGAAGTCATCTACGTTTAACACGACCAGTTCAGACTGATACATGTCAATTCAAAATTGAATTGACACTAATAATAATGAAGCAAGAATGACAGCCCTTGCCAAAAAGAGTCATAGATGGACCCATGGTAGTTATGTGGGTTCCTTTTTATTATACACATTTCCCCCCATGTCACTCTTGGAGAGCAAGTTTTAACTTTTAAATTAAATTTTCACCGATAATATAGTGAATTAATATCTCCATTCAACTTTAATAATTTTATTTTGATTTTTAAATTTTTTAAATATAAATTTTCATATGAATCTGACTCATAAAATAAAGTGATCTGTGCTACTTTAAAGGTTCATTCTCTCTTTCAGATAACGATTTAATCCAATTCATGACAATTGTTCAAAAAAATATATAAAAATTTTCATATAAAAACTTAATATATTATATAAATAATAATTAAAATTTTTATTAAATAAAAATATGCAACAAAAATTATATATATAAAAATTTTAAATTATTATTTATATAAATTGTTAAATTTTTATTTGAAATTCATATTTAAAAATTTTTAAAAATCAAAGTAAAACTA